TAGTTGTTTGTGGGTAAATTTGAATAATAACCATTTTAGCAGGTCTTTCCTGTATAAATATGAATATTAATCTACCACTAACAGCTCTATACTTTAGAATAAATCTCCATTATTTTTTTTAACTGTAAGTATGATACCATTACTCAATTTGTCATTTCTGGAATACCAAGGAATATGACTGTCTTATTCAAGATGACCAGTCCCAGTCCATTTCCATTTCAGCTTACTAATGTTCAAGATATCTATCTTTATTTGTTCCACTTCATTTGCAACAACTCCCACCTATTCTGTGTTAATACATCATATATTCCGTGATCCTGATATTAATGTGTTCTTGTAGTTATTACTTCTCATTTTAGGTATTGATACATCAGCAAATGAAGGCCCTGAAAGCTTTATTCCATCCATGTCAGAGAGGTAGATTCTTAAGTAGGTAGTTCTTCTCTCATCATAATTTGAATTTCATCTAACTTGAGGAATTCATCTTATAATACTGTATCAGACTGTTCTGCTGCTAGTGATAGGTTTTCACTGGCAAATTGTTTCAGACGTACATCTTCAGCCCTATCTTCGTCTGGAAACTATAAAAAGACCTGTCTACCATGGTGACCCTCCTGATATTGGAAATACTGGTGGCCAAACTTCCAACATCATGGCAACCCACAAGACTACTAAATAACAATTAACTGGCAGACAAGTGGTAGATAGAGTTCCTAGGTAGTACAAGCAATTATATATTTACCACTAACAGAAAATGTGGATCTCTAATGACTGATGATCAACTTCCTAATGATCAGCCATTGAAAACTCCTATGAAGCATATTCTGGTCTGACACAGGGGCTCATGTAATTTGGTGTTAACACAAGAACAGCTTGTTTCGGTTTTAAATAGACAGATACCAACTACACACTTCAATCATGTCATTTCCAACTCAGAGCAATCCTCCTTCAGGTTTACGTGGCTGTAAATTTTTATAGGAGGAAAATGTATATTTCCCCTCCATTAAAAGCTGGTGGATTTGAACTACTGATCTTTAGTTAGCATCCTGATATGTTACCACCATGCAACCAGGACTCCCTAAAGATTTTTAAAATTTTAAAAAAAAAGCCTATTAAAGTTAAAATGTGTATATCCTTGTAAAAACAACAAGAGAACATTGGCATAATTCATAAGAAGAAATGTTCCATTGGCAGTTTAGAATTTCTGGTTGTCCAAACAGAACCTGACTCTTTTTGCTAGGTAAGTAAATAAATGAAGATAGTTCCACAAGAACAGTAAGATGAACAGGACATAATGTTAAAAAAACTACATATTCTGAAAAGTTATGACAAAAAAAAAGGAAAGGACAAAAATTATGATTACTCTGCCCACTACTACTGTAAGTTACAAATGTTATTTTACATTTGTTAGGTAGTATAACAAAAACATTTGCTGTAGATTTTTAAAATCTATAAATTATTCAAAAGCACAAAAGGAAAAAAATGTCCTTAAAGTGTGAAAAACTAGTCTCCCTCTTATTCTTTTCCTCAGTATTTCATTTGTATTGTTGGGGCATACTGAGAGAGTTTCTTTAAGCCAGAAGCTTCTTAGCTACATTCAAGTATAATTGCTGATTTATTAGAGATATTTCCAAGAGACAGAGCTCTAGTGTCCTACTGAGTAAGACATTGTGCAAAGATAAGCAGTTTTAATCCACTAGCTGCTTCAAGACAGAGATTTCTGCATTTGCCTCCATTATGATTACCCACCGGAGGGTCAGCTGTAACACAGCTCTGACTGTTGGTAAGCTTCTTTTCTTTTTGTTTCACATGGTATACAGTTAACTTTAAATATTCTGTAGAGACTTCCAAAAATACTAATGTGTTCCTGCAAAATTACCATTAAATTCCCTACATTTTTCTTTCAGTCTTGATTTTCCCAGCCCCCGAGTACAATGTTTGCATGCAGCCTTTTACCCTGCCGACCTGATTTATTTTCATTGTCCCCTTTGCTACTTAATATGAAGGAAAACAGTCCGCATTTATCTTCTTGTAGCAAACTTAAAAAAAGACACCCTGGGCTTTATGTTTTAGCCTGTCTGAGACAAAGGAAGACGGCCTTTATGTTCCTTAAAGCACAGAACCTGTTTTCCCTGGAGAAGGGGTTACCACAGCTGTGGGTATTCCCTTCTCTCTGCTGCATCCTCTAGTATGTTATTTTTGGTTTCTTTTCTCTGAATACTATTTTTGTTATCTTCTTTTTCTGTCTCTGTTGCCTTGAAAGCTGTGCTCACACCCATTATTATACTTTCCAGAGAGTGAATAGAACTTTCAAATAAACTCAGAGAACTGGAATGCCTTTGAAGACACTCCAACGTAACAAGCAAATCAAAGGCATGCACCAGATCCCTGGTGATGTACACATGCACTTCCAACTAACATTACCTAGACATGTGTTAGAGGTTCTTGAGATAATTTTAGAACATAGTTTTATTAACGTGGCTTCAATGAACCATCTTAGAGCTTACTGTAAGACCGAGTTACTCTTTCTCTAGCTGTAGGGTGAAATGAATCTGTATTCTACTTAACTCCAATTTATGGTGAAAATTAGGATTCCAGAATTCTGTCCCCTACATATTGATGCCTTTGAGCTGTGGTGCTGGAGAAGAGTATTGAGAATACCATGGACTGCTAGGAAAACAAACAGATTTGCCCTGGAAAGGGTTAAACCAGGTGGCTCCTTGAAGGCAACGACTCTGAGGCTCCGTCTAACATACTTTGGACATGTTGTGAGGAGAGACCGGTCCTTGGAGAAGGACATCATGCTTGGTAGGGTGGAGGGCAGAGCAGGAGGGGAAGGCCCTCTATGAGGTGGATTGATTCAGTGACTGGGATAATTGGGATGGGAGTGTCAGAGACAGTGTGATTGGCACAGGACAGAGCAGAGTTTAGGGCTGTTGTACATAGGGTCGCTATGAGTCGCAAGCGACTCGAAGGCACATAAAACAACAACAACAACATATTGAATTCTAATTCCTAATGTCAGTAACCTAAAAGGTATATTCAAACTGATTTATTTGCACACTAAAGTTATAAGACATCAATTGGGAATGTATTTATAATGTTACACTGCTAATTTGAATGAAATCTCTGAAGATTTTTTTAAAAATAGTTTTCTTGATTAGTATTGTTGTTAGGTCAAGTCAACTACAACTCATAGAGACCCTATGAGCAACAGATCTGAACCTTGGACTGGCCTGTGCCATCCTCATGATTTTAATAGGGAATGAATGCCTTCACAGAGTTTAAGAGCTCAGTCTTTTTCATGTTTGGAAAACCAGTCTAATTGGTATCTGGCATGGGGTAGACATGCCTGCTGTTGTAACTGGGCATCACACGGACACAGCCTCAGAATGAATAAGCTAGACAGCCATGGTAGCACAGTTTTAGTGAAGAATATAACAAATCCAAAGGAACAGCGTTTTTATTAATGGCAAATATCTTTCTGGAACTTCCTTGTAAAAGAGGACAACAGAGATTATTCTGGGACTTTGTAGTCTGGGAACCGTCATAAACATTAGGTTTGCAAAGAGGCCAAAGAAAATCAGAATAGACATAATTAGGCAAATCTAACCCAGAGCAGTCAAGTAAATTCCAACTCAGTGGCCATCCGTTGTGTTTCTGAAGTTATATATCTTAATGAGGGAAGACTGCTCAGAGCAGGTGGTGGATTTGAACTCTGAACTTTAGTTAGCAGTTTAGTGTGCTACACCATGAAATATATGCCACCAGAGCTCATTTTAGAATTAGGCAAGATGGTAAAAAATAAGGTTTGTAAGGGTTTGCTTTTTCTAATTTACTCCCCCCTCAATTAAGACTATTTTAATTGGCTTTGCCTGTTGTTCTTGTGTGTGTGTGTGTGTGTGTGTGTGTGTGTGTGTGTGTGTGTGTTTGTGTACAGGCACACATGTGTGCACATGTAATCCTGCCTGTGAAAAGGCAGGGAAAAAAAGAAAGAGAAATGTCATTTTTAAAAATGATGGTGCAGAATTATTTGTTACTGTCAGTTTAAAAATGTATCTAAAAGTAAAAGTAGGGCCTTCATACAAAAAATACCTACTTGTAATACTAGAAGGAGTTTATTTATTTGTGACCATAAATAAGAAAAATATTTTTGAAACTTCTAGTTCCTAGTAGTGTAATTAAAGTGAGATGAGAAGGATAAATTTTATATACCATACTCTTCAGTGAAGTCATGCTTATATGTGTTGCTTTTTAAAACTAGCATTACATTTTAAAGAAGAATAATAATTCATGTAGCAGTTTGGGAATCATCAATGCTGTGTTTGCTATGACATATATTCTCTCAAATAAGGTGAATCTTTAGTAGCCATTTGGGAAACTGTTAGCAAATTTGGAAGACAGCACCTTTGGTAAGTTTCATGACTTTTATTCCCATGTGAATAGGCAGAGAGATCGAGAAAAAGGAAAAACTAATTCCTTTTAGAATCAGAAGGAGAGAAAACAAAGCAATAATGTGAGATTTAAAAAAAATCATTATTTGAGATCAACTATTTGGTACAAGTATTGTAAATCTGAGTCCTAAATTCTTATCAATTTGCATGCCCTTCACATCAAAGCATTGAAAAGTAAGATCCATCTACTCATTATGCAGCCACCACCACCAAGACAAATTTTTCATCCTCTTCACACATCAAATTCCTCAGCTGGGATATCACAAGAATACAATCCACCTTACACTCTTCAAATGAAGAATAACCTAGTAAATGGAAAATCAGGATAGTTCCAAAAATATTCTTTAGACTTAACTTTGAGTATAGTCTTTGGGGGGAAAAAAACCCCACCTAAATATGACTGAGTATCAAGAGAATTTTCTATATAAATTTGGTGCTTACAAACAAGTCAGTTCTAAGCCACTAGCAACTAGCTTTTTCAGTGTTAAGACTTTTATTCAATAATTGTGTTTCCTGCTCTCCCTCTCTTCCCTGCTCTCTCCCCAGTCTCTGTTAAGCATCCGTGGCTCCCTGTTTTCTCCAAGGCGCAACAGCAAAACAAGCATTTTTAGCTTCAGAGGTCGTGCAAAGGATGTGGGTTCGGAAAATGACTTTGCTGATGACGAGCACAGCACATTTGAAGACAGCGAGAGCAGGAGAGACTCACTGTTTGTGCCACACAGACATGGAGAGCGACGCAACAGTAACGTTAGTCAGGCCAGTATGTCATCCAGGATGGTGCCAGGGCTTCCAGCAAATGGGAAGATGCACAGCACTGTGGATTGCAATGGTGTGGTTTCCTTGGTGGGTGGACCGTCAGCCCTGACGTCACCTACTGGACAACTTCCACCAGAGGTGATAATAGATAAGCTAGCTACTCCTGACATTGTGCACCAATTTGAAATATGCAAAGCTTGGGCAGTTCAGCCTGTAGGCTTCCAAAAAATGAAACTCCTTAAAACATATAGAATTAATTGAGTGGAAATCAAGTCTTTTGAACAACTTTTATTATAGGAAACTCTTACTTTTTAGACGTTTTGGGTTAAAATAGCTCAATATATTTTTATCTGAGATGAAACATCTATATACAATTCGGTAGACTAAATTCAAGATAAAACTGTGGGCACTTTGACAAATAAATCTTCATTACACTTGGATGTTCACTCAGAGTTATATAATCACCCATTCACTGTCTGTATACTTAGATTGCTTAATCATCAAAATATTTATAATGGAAGTTTTCATACAGCTGTCTATATTACAGTGCTAATTTCAAATGGCTCTAATTTACATTGTGATTTATTTTAGGATGGCAAATAGAATCCATTAAAGAAATCTCAGGAAAGCACACACATTTCATTGTACATCTGTGTTTGTGCATGGAAAAAATTGGCCTTTATCTCAAAGAAAACAACTCAACCTTTGAACTACTTAATAATTTTGTTGTTGTTTTGTGGGAAGATTACTCTGATTAATAATCACTGACATGAGCTACAAAAACAATTTGTATTTGAATAAAAAAATCATACAAGACTGTAGCATTCATATGAAAAACATCTCTGAAAATTATAACAGGTTAATGAAAATACTTCTGTAGCACAATTGTCCTATACAATTGCATCTGACAGGTGAAAAGTAACACCTGTGACCACGCCCATTTTGGTTATTTGGCTTTTTATTAAAAGGGCATTTATAAAAGTAATGACATAATATTTTTATTATTACATGAAAATGTGCTACCTGGAACAAAATGCATGGAGCATGATTTTCCAGAAAAGATGCTGTGCAGTGTTCTATCCCTTGACAAGGCTGGTTTGAGCCATCAGTATTTGGTTTGCAGGGCACCACCACTGAAACAGAAGTAAGAAAGAGAAGGCTAAGTTCCTACCAGATTTCAATGGAGATGCTAGAAGACTCCTCTGGAAGGCACAGGACCATGAGCATAGCCAGTATCCTGACCAATACCATGGAAGGTAACTACCAGCTCAAAGAAAAGTCATCTTCCTATGATTGGTTTACTAAAGGAAACCTTGTGGAAATTTCCTTCTCAATTATTCAATTACTCAAGTCAGTTACATTAGGCAAAAGGGTTCAGAGGAAGGTAAAAGTAATCTTGCAATTGTTGTTGTTAGGTATTATCAATCCGATTTTGATTCATGGCAGTTCTATGCACAATGGATTGAAGCCCTTCTCAATTGGTGCTCAAGTTCAAATTTGAAATCACTGTGTCAGCCCATCTCCTTGAGGGCTTTTTTTCCTTCTTCACCAACATTCTGCATTTCTGAGCATGATGTCCTTCTCCAGGCTCCTTCTAATACAATGCTCAAACACACACCATCCTTGCCTCTAATGAGCACCCTAGCTGCACTTACTTCAAAACAGACATATTTTTTTTTCTCTTGTTAGTCCATGGTGTAGTCAATACTCTTATCACCACCACAGTTCAAAGGCATTCATTATTTTCTGATCCTTATTCACTGTCCAACTTTCATGTTCATGTGAAGCGACTGAAGATATTATGGTTTGAATCAAGTGCACTTTAGTTTTTTAAATTATATCCTTGCTCTTTAGCACCATAAAGAGGTCTTTGACATGAAATTTGCTGAGTGCAAATTTGGGTTATGAAAAGTGTTTTCATCAGCGAAGTACTTAACCTGTGTGCCTAAATTTCCTTCTCTATGGAATAGAAGGCAATAAAACAACCTTTAAACTGACACCCAGGCACAGCAGATTTGCCCAGTGCAATATGTTTTGTGATTTCTTGACCATGACTTGCATGGGTGTGTTGATTGTGGAGCCAAGGAAAATGAAATCATTGACTTCAAACTTTCCTCCTTCTTTCATATTGCCTATTGGTCCAGTAGAGAAAATTTTTGGTTTTTCTTGATGGTGAGGTGATCCATTTCTTTAAACCATATTAAAAAATGTAGTCTTTGATCTTCTTCAGTAAGTACTTCAAGTCCTCTTCACTTTCCAGTAACAAGGTTTGTGTTGTTTGAATAAATTTGGTTGTTAATAAATCTTCTTCTAGTCCTAATAATATTCTTTATATTGTACAATTTCTCATAGTATTTTTAGCATACATTCAGCACATACAATTTGCACTTTCAGTAAAAGGAAATGACACTGATGAATATTTTAAAACATAGAGTATACCCTCGCCCGTTCAAGCCACTGTCTCTTGATTCATGTACAGGTTTCACATAAACACAATGAAATGCTCTGGAATTTCCATTCTTCTTGATGTCAGCCATAATTTATTATGATCTACATAGTTGAAAGCCTTTGCAGACTCAATATAAAATAAGTAAACATCTTTATGTTGTTCTCTACTTTCAGCCAAAGTCTACCACTTTGCTCATTGCTGCCATCAGCAATGACAATCCTCATTCCACAGCCTCTTCTGAATCCAGTTTGAAATTCTGGCTGTTTTCTGACTATGTACTGTTTCAGCTGTTTTTAAATAATTTTCAAAAATATTTAACTTATACATGATATTGTTTAATAATTTTTCCATTCTCTTTGATCACCTAGTTTTGGAGTTTTTTGTCTGGTTTGTTTTTTAATGGGCACAAATGGAGATCTAAGTAGCTGTGTTCCAAATTTCTTAGCATAAACAAGTGAACATGCCAAAGAGTGTTTCTGTTTACTGTTGATATTCCTTTAATTCTTAAAAACTTATTTTTTTCCCCTAAAGCTTTCAGCTTAGACTTCTTCCTTGAGTATCATTGGTTCTTGATCATATACTACTTCCCAAAGTGGTTCAGTGTCAATCAGTTCTTTTTCAGTTCATGACTGTGTTTTCCTTATCTATTCTCTGAGATTTATTCTTTTGCCTATTGAACCCTTCAGTTCTGCAATTTTGTACTGGATTTATTTTTCTTTCTTCTTTTTTTTTTTCTTAAGCAATGCCTAGCATATTCTTCAACTCCAAAGATTTGTACATCTAACTAGTCTTTTGCTTTGTCTTTGAATTCCATAATTCAGCTCTAATTTCTCATTTCTTCTTATTGTGTTATCAGTGAGTGTTTATAGCCATTTCTTTTCATGCCATAACAGCACAGGAAGGTCCTTCATTGAATTTAAGTGCTACTCTTACCACACAGTTACAGTAGAATGTCTTTTGAGAAAGCAGCTCAGCCTCAGTCATGTTTTGAATGCCATCCAACCTGAGGCACTCATCTACCAGCAATACATCAGTCAATTTCTTACTATCATTCATGAAATTTCTGAAGATCTTTTATTTTGGAAGTGGTTGGTCAGTCCTTCTTCCTACTATGGAAGCTTTGTGGAACTCTGGGTGCCCCTGCAGGTAACTGAAAAACCAACCAGTGACCTAGCTTTCAGCATCATAGCAATACACAGTCCACCACAGCGTGGCAAACTGACAGACATATGGTGGAGGAATACATTATATTACCTGAGTACAAAGATTCATGTTGGTCTTATTTCTTAGCTCAAATCTACCTTGTTTCTAGAGCTATCTTCTATTGGGCTGTGGCTAGTTTCCATTTCATGGCGACCTCAATTGTGCAATTTTCAGAGTTTTCAAGGCTGGGACATATCACATCACCAGATTTTTCTTCCAAGGTGACTCTGGGTAGATTTGAATGTCCAACTTTTCAGTTATAATGAAATACTTGATCATTTGCCACTACTCAGGAACTCCTGATGTTATACTAGTGGGAATTCACTCTTATGTTGTATTATCCTTGAGCACTTCGAGTAAGCACATTCTTCTTAACAGGAAGCACAGGAAATATTGCTTTCAGGGAGTAGTCTGCATTCTCTAGGGTTGGAGGTAGCAAAGGCATGAGGAAAGGATATGAAAAGTTAGAATAATCAAAACTTTATTATTTGCTATTCAATAATCAAAAATTTTATTATTTGCTATTCAACAGCACATAACAACAAAAATATAGTATGACAGGTTTGGAAGCAGGAGTGGCATCCACTTCCTAAACCACATGCCTCTCTAGAAACTAAGCACATAGAGAAATGACGTTTGTTATAGAATAGGGTTCAGGTCTTTTCTTCATAGGGTCACTTTGATTCATATTTGATTTGATGACACTTAACCATTGCCAATGAGACTAGTGTTATTATATTTTGGAGGAACATTCTTTTAAGTTGTACATCACTCTTCTGTCATTTTGCTGTACTGAGGTAATTCTAGGTTTGCTGTGATGCTGAACCTTGTGCCAATGGGGTATCAAATGCCATAACAGTTTCCTAAAGTGGACAGTGCTTGGTGGAGCTCCCAGTCAGACAGGTTTGGAAGCAGGAGTGGTATCCACTTCCTAAACCACATGCCTATAGAAACTCTATGATCTTGGAGAAACAAGGATAGTTACAGAAAGGCATCAGGTCTTTTGTTGATGGGGTCCCTAGGGGTTATGCTCAACTTGATGGCAATTAACAATAACAACAAAGCACACCTGACACAATGCTCATTACTTGTGAAACACAGCAATGGGATGCAGATATTACTCTCTTGTTCAAAGTCTTAAAAGCTCAGCAACAGAGATCTTAAAAGCTTTTAAGCAGCCATCAAGTAACTGTTGGTACCTTCCTGTCCAGAACAAAAGAGTGATTTCAACTATAAACACCCATTGGGAACGTGATGTCAGTGCAATAAATCATACAATACACAAATGGCAGCATTTTCCAAAAAACAAAATTTATGAGGGGGTGAAAGACAGGCAAGGTGGGTTAATGGTAACAAGGGAATCAGGGAGGAAATGGGGAAAGTATCATCATTACATAACAAAATGTGTACCAATTGTTAAATGGAAAATCAACTTACTCCACAATTTCAACTTTTATAGTTTTTTTTTTAATTTAAAAAAACCTCCTCTTCAAAATTTGGAGGAATACTATAATTTTATAAGACTAATATAACATACATTCTACATTTTATCTTTTCACTATTGGCATGTTGAATATCTGAGCAGTTTCATAATAATTATATTATAGCAGGCTTTAGTCATCAAATTTATAGTAATATTTGTACATCCTACACAAAAATTCTTTAAAAATGCATGTAAACATTAAACATATAGGTAGAGTTAGGTCAGAATCTATACCAAAAAGATGGTATACTATGCATTTACAATGTATATAAGATTATCGTTTATAGTGAGATACATAGAGAAGAGTCATGCATATTAATAATTATCATAGCTGTAACTAATATTTTAAAGGTATTTCAAAAGATATGAAATTTTATAATCCATGATAAAACATGCTAAATATTTTTCCAGAGATAATAGAATAGTTTAATCCACTTCTGCCACAATAGCCATGTGGAGTTAAAATATCAATTCAAAGTGCTTATTTTCTGTATTTCATCAAATAGGAAAACCTAGCTACATAATATTTCAGTGATCATTTTATGAAAACATTTAATGGGATTGTATTAAACTAAGTAGCATATCTATATCCAAGCGTAAGTTTTATCAGTAGTTCAAGTATAAAGTCTAAGCAACAAGAGTTCATATTCATTGTTATTTACTATTATCCTCTGTTTTGAACCCCTAGAACTTGAAGAATCTAGACAAAAATGTCCACCATGCTGGTACAGATTTGCCAATGTGTTCTTGATCTGGGACTGCTGTGATGCATGGTTGAAAGTAAAGCATCTTATGAATTTAATTGTTATGGACCCATTTGTTGATCTCGCAATTACCATTTGCATTGTTTTAAATACTCTTTTTATGGCTATGGAGCACTATCCCATGACAGATCAATTCAGCAGTGTATTAACTGTAGGAAACCTGGTAAGTTCATTTGAAGTTTACTTATTTTCTTTTGCAAGAAGAGATATAGATAGATAGATAGCATATATTCCATTCAGGAAATTTTGTATTTTCTTCACAGTGAGAAATGCCTATAAAGATATAAAAAAATAACAGTAAGCAGTCTAAAATTCAGCTGGTATTGATGCTGACTGTGTAAGGGACCTTGGGGCCATAGTGCACACTATGTTGGGCTACTAACCAAAAATTCAGCTGTGTAATGCCACTGGTATAGGTTAGTACCAGAGGTTGCTGGTAATGTTGCAGACTTGCTAAAACATTTACTCAGTAATCAGTTTCGAGAGAAACCATGAGCTCTAATTTTAATTTCATTGCCATGCAGTTCTGAAGAACTCATGCCTTTCAAAGGATGACTCAAGAATTGATTTCTGTACAAAAGAGAGCAGAATTGTTTAAAACACAATTACTGGGGGGAAAATCATGCTTCTGTGGCATTCATATAAGAGAAGAAATATTTGTTAAATGTGTAACTATACTCTTGGTTTAAACAATATGTGTGTGTGTGTGTGTGTATACACTGCTAGACATTTTCTCCTAAATCTTTATAAAGACAGATAAACTGGTGAAAATGGAAGAAAAGTGTTTCTTTAGTTTATTAACAAAGATCATGTTGGTGGTGAAAGAAGCTGGACTCAAGATAATTTGTTGTTGTTGTTGTTATGTGCCCTCGTGTTGCCTGTGACTTATAGCGACCCTATGTACAGCAGCCCGAAACCTTGCTCTATCCTGTGCCAATCTTATTTTCTCTGACACACCCACTTCAATTACCCCAGTCACTGAATCAATCCATCTCATCAAGGGTCTTCCTTTCTTGTGATGCCCTCCACCCCCTCAAGCATGTCCCTCTCTTAGGACTGGTCCTGCTTTGCAACATGTACAAAGTATGTCAGACAAAATTTCAGAATCCTTGCCTTTAAGGAGCAGCCTGGTCTCACCCTCTCTAGGATGAACTTTTCTGTCTTCCTAGCAGTCCATGGTGCGTTCAATACTCTTCTTCAGCACCAAAGCTCAAAGACATAAATTAGTCTTCTATCATCTCTAGTCATTGTCCAGCTTTCCCGTGTATACAAATAGTTGCAAAGACCATGCTCTGAATCAGGCGCACCTTAGTCTCCAGACTGACATCTTTGCTATGCAGTACTTTTGAGAGGTCTCTGACAGCAGACTTTACCAATGCAATTTGTCTTTTTATTTCCTGACTGCTGGTACCAAGAGTTTTGATTGTAATGCCAAGCAAGCTAACTTAGGAAGGGGGAAAATCATGCAAAGGAAAATTCTGTTAAATAGAATTCCAGAAAAACTTTAATTGAAAATATACAATAAGAGGTTGATGAGACATTAGAATTAATTGATTGCATTGTTGTTGTTGTTGTTATGTGTCATTGAGTTGTTGGTAACCCATAGCAACCCTATTTACAATAGCTCTGAAGCCTGCCCTGTCCTGAGCTAGTCTCACTGACTCTGACACCCCAACCCCCATTGCCTACTGTAGTTACTGTACCAGTCCATCTCATCTGGTGCCTTCCTCTCCTGAGCTGTCCTCCACCCTTTTGAGCATGACATCCTTTTCCAAGGACTGGTCCCTCCTGGCCATATGCCCAAAGTATGTGAGACAAAGCTTCAAAATCTTGGCCCCCAAAGAGACATTCAATCAGTTGCAATTAATGTTAAAAACCACAAACAAATGGATTGAGAAATTATGGTACTTTCACACAATGAAATAATACACAGCACACAGGAGTAATAATTTTGTAAATTATTACCTAACTTGGGAGGATCTGGAGAGCACTATGCTGAGTGAACTATAACTCAGTCTCTCAAGGACAATTACTGTATAAAACCATTATTTTATAATGAATGTAAGGATACAAGGGGGGAGGTGGAAGCAGAGGGATGAAGATGTGCAGAGGGAAGGGAGGATTAATCATGAAATTGTACAATTTTATGAATGAAAGGTGAGAGAAGTTGAAAAAATCTGTTCTGAGAAACAATGTATTCAAACTTTGTAAATAAACTAATATAGTAATTAAAATAAAATTAAAAAATGTATATGAGTGATAGGATGAAAAACAATAAGAAAGAAGAAGTGAGGGAAAAAAAGACAGAAAACTGTATCAATGTCTAACGATTTTGGAGTCCTTTTCTCCCATTAACTGAAAAGTCTAATAATCCCACTTTGCTTTGCCTTATCTCTAGTGGTGGCCTTCCAGCCTCCTAATGCAGAAATTCTATTGTCATTTTGACTTCTATTTTATTTCTTATATAAGAGTTGGTTCAAATATCTTATTTTTCCTTTCAAGTTATCTTTTTTAAAAACAAACCTAATCATTCTATTAATAGTTGTGCACTTGGTTTGTTTCCACTTTATCCATGTATTTATACAACTATATCTTGGAGATGGTGCAGCTAGAGTGCTTTTTGGAGGCAAATATAATAAAGCTTCACCTCACATATTTCGGGCATGTTGCTTTGAGACGGGCATGATGCTAGGAAAGGCAGGGGGTCGGCAACAGAGAGAAAGACCCTCAACCAGGATTGACACAATGACTGCCAAAATGGGCTCTACTGTGTCAGGAAGAGTGAGATATGGCACAGGATAGCACAGGATCTGCTGTTTATAGGGTTTCTATGGTTTGTACTCAACTCGATGGCCCCTAACAACAAAAATAACAGAAGTATTTAATGTGTATAATTATGACTCAACATTATTTTGTCTGTTTTTCATGTCTCCATACCTGATCCCATCCTTCTTTTACAACCCTGTTGCCCACTCCAAATCAGTATCCACTAGTCCTGCCAGAACAGCCGTGCCTCTGTACTGCACAAATGCCAAACAAAAGTTTATACATTTACATATAGGAAAATATTCCTCTCTTCAAGGTTCTCTACATTCACATCCAGAGTGCTCATCTGAACACTGATTTTTATATTCTGCAAGGGTTAGCTACCACTTCATCTCCTCTGACATTTTACATGGCCTATATTGAAATTCTTAACTCCTAGTGCATCTTCAAGGAAAAGATATTTCAGTATCAAACATTTTCTAGCTATATCATTGTTGCTGTTGTTGTTGTTATTGTTAGGTGCTGTCAAGTACGACTCACAGAGACACTATGAACAAAAGATCTGAACCCAGTCCTGTTCTGCACCATCCTCACACTTCCTGACACACAAGATCCCATTGAAGCAGTCACTCTATCAGTCCACCTGGTTGAATGAAGGTCTTTCTCTCCTTAACTTATCTTCCACCCTTCTTAACATCATGTCCCCCTCCAAGGAATAGCACCTCCTAGCAATATGTCCAGAGTCTTTAAGGTGAATAAAGCCTCATCATTCTTGCCCCCAAAGAACATTCCAGTTACACTCTCTCCAAGACATATTTATTCATTTTCTTGACCGTTCATCGGTGTTCAGTGCTCTTCTCCCAACACCACAGCTCAAAGGCATAAATTCTTTTTCTGTCATCCTTATTCATTGTACAGGTCTCAGATGCATAGCTGGTAATCAGAAAGACCTGAATCACGTGCACCTGAGTCCACAAATTGACATCACTACTCCTCAATAATTTGGAAAGGTCTCTAACTGCAGATTTTCCAATTGCAATGTGTCTTCTTATTTTCCGACTTCTTTGCATGGTGGTCATAACAACCTGCTTCTTGTTTGCTGTTTAATGGCTACTTTGGTTAGCAGGTTTCAGTGAAAGAATATAGACACTATAATTAGGAAGACAAAACAAAGAATTATAATGAAACATACAGAGAGCTGATTATAATGAAACATACAGAGAGCTGGAGTCAGGTAATTAATAGGGATGAACTCACTGGGCATTTCTTAAGCTGAAAAAACTGAAGAACAAATTCAAGCCTCAAGTGTCAATACCTAAGGATACTATGGGCAGAATATCAAATGATACAGGAAACATCAAAAGAAGAGAGTCATTGTATTAAAGAGAACTGGCTAACGCAGAAAAATTTCATGAAACAACATATAAACATGAAGCAATGATGATGAAGGCGGAAGTTCAAGCTGCTTTGAAAGAATTGGCAAAAAACAAAGCCCCAGAAATTGATGGAATACCAGTTGACATATTTCAGCAAAAATATCATGCCCTGGATGTCCTCACCAGGTTGTGCCAAGAAATATGGAGGGCGACTACTTGGCCAACTGACTGGAGGAGTTCCATGTTTATTACCATTCTAAAAAAAGATGATGCAACAGAGAGTTGAAGTTATTGAACAATATCACTAATATTACATGCAAGAAAAATCCTACTGAAGATTATATCTAACAAGGACTAGAACAGTACATTGACAGAGAACTACCAGAAATGCAAGCTGGGTTTAGAAGAGGCCATGGCACAAAGAACTACCAGAAATACAAGCTGGGTTAAGAGAGGCTGTGGTACTTGGGACATCATAGCCGATGTCAGATAGATCTTGGCTGAGAGCAGAGAATACCGGAAGAATGTTTATCTGTGTTTCAAAGGCATTTGTCTGTGGGCTTGCCACAAATTGTTGCTAACATTGAGAAGAATGGGAATTCTAGGACACTTGATTGTGCTCATGTGAAACCTATTCTTAGACTGGGAGAAAGTTGTCAGAACAGAGCAAGGAAGCACTGCTTGTCTCAAAATCAGGAAAGGAGTGTGTTGTGGATGAGTATTGGCTTCATACTCTGTCATTATGTGGAAGAGTTCATGGGCTAGGCTTTATCAGGAGGAAAGTGGTATTAGAATTGGAGGAAAACGTATCAACAACCAGTATTAAGCAGATGACACAACCCTGCTTGCTGAAAATGAGGAGGGCCAGAAGCATTTGCTGCAGATGGTCAAGGACTGCAGTCTTCTAATGGAAGCTCAGCGTTAAGAAGACAAAGATTCTCCCCTTTGGGCCAGTTGGCAGTACCATGACAGATGGAGAGGAGATTGTTACAAATTTCAGCTTTGCTTGGCTCTACAGTCA